GAAGAATTTTAACTTCTATATCGATGTTCATGCATGTGTGTGACTATTTATGCTGGGGACATTCTTGTTCTAGCCTACTGAGATTACAATGCTGCAGTTTAACATGGATACCCACTCAGACACTAAACTCCGAGCCTACCAATCCTTGTTTTATCCCCTTATTGCTGAACGCTAGGCAGGGTAACAACAAGTACCATCTTTCGTGTTTTGGTTTGATGCGGTCAGTGAATGAACCACCGACGGAGGCAGTCTGAACAGGGCCCCGTTCCACAAAGCGGTCATAGCTCTACGACTGTCGTAAGCCTATGATAAAGTATGGGAGTTACGATCATCTTAGCGCTACGATCGCTTTGTGGAACAGAGCCCAGATTACTAGAAAAAAAAGTGAACAGGGGAAATGAATATTTATGTATTGAGTTGATGTGAGAGGGAAATATATGAACGGACCGACTGATGGGTGAATGAACAATCAACTTGGTCATGGTTTAAATTTATGTAAAATGAATTTCATTTACAGTTGTGGGGGATTCTGGGGTCAGAATAGGCCGCCAGAAGAGCCGACTGATGAATGTAAAGAATTCCTTTTAGTTTTGAACAGTATGTCATTTAAATCATTAGTGTGTCACCTTTATGCAAGAGGAAAGCCCCAAATGGGCCAGGGTGTGAAAGTTTACCATGTTCTGGAGAAACCCTCAGGTATGGTGCTGACAAACCAAGGATCATAATCACAGCGATTCAGCAGATCCTGGCACACCTAAGGGACGCAATTCTGCACAGTAAATTGTGTCACTTTACACAAGTGGGACACCTTAAAATGTGTGACCTGGGTACAAAGCGATTTTAGCACTAATGTTATGGTAATTCCCATACCTTAACATGGACTCATGACAGTCATAGGTAAAACAGTATCCTGCTCATGCTATGAATCAGTGGTCTGCCCGGTCCAGAATCTGTTACTTACAGGACACTGGGATATGTGTAGGAGAAACCATGTCTCCTCGAGATTACTAGAGATTGTAAACCCTCACATGAGGGAACGACCCGAGGGACGTTCCCTCATGTGAGGGTTTACAATCTCTAGTAATCTCGAGGAGACATGATTTGTCAAACTTAGAAACCGACTCATCGCATAGACGTTTTTAAGTAAATTACTGTAATAAAAACTCTCAAATGTATAACCTGTATCAGAGATGAAATATCGCCTGCAGTCGTGAACTCGGTTCAATGAAACCGGTGACCTCAGCACGTAGGTTTTGCAACGGTGCGAAATCTGCACGTGCGTCTCGCAATGGCACGAAATCTGCACGTGCGTCTCGTAGGCTGTTGGTAGTTTTTGTTCTATCAAGGGTTTACAATGATTGTAAGCCCTCCTGCAAGGTGTTACCACAATTTCAAAAACTCCATATCGAGTTACACAAACAGCCAGTAGGTTTATAATACTAGAATATTGCCGACGGGACACCACCATTCACTCATAGCTCGGACAAAAGCAGAACAGCTGTCATTGATCAGCAGCTGAGAATAGTCCACTAGACTGCAGTTTGAGCAGGGAACATCAGTACATATTCTAAGCTGGCCTAAGACCTGAATGTGATCAATACATCCTGTATCGTTCTGCTCTCAGACGCCTGTATAAAGCAATACAAGGAGAACCCCATCAGACATCTGTATATACATTACATCACTTGAAGCAGGACCCGTGAAGATCCGGGTTAGAATAGGTCTCCGGCAGCCCGTGCTTGCCCTAACAGGCGACTATGCTTGTCGTAAGGGGCGACAAACAGGATCGGGTGGTCAGGCTCGCTGACTTGGCTGATGTATGTCATCATCGTATCCCAATTGCGCAGATCGATACTCGTGATATCAATCACTAGGTTGTCTGGTCCAGACTCAATTGTTTACATACCACTGTCTTATAGCTAGAATATGTGTTAAACAACAAACTTTATGCAGGTGGCTCCGAATATGACTGAGGACTATCAAGTAGGTCAGGTTTCCTCTGAGTGAGTGAAAGTTAGAGTTGTCATGAACAAACATTTGCTTCTTACAGTGGTATCGTTTGGTTTCTTTATTCATCAAATATCCAGAGAAATAATACCCTTACTGTACCTCCATAATTATACTATTTCTGTCAGTGTATGAAAGGTGGGCTACACTTTTTTAATTACAAGGTTTATAGCTTTTCACTGACCAATTCATTTATTTTGGTCGAATAAAATCAATTTGTGTAGCACAATATGTTTCTTTAGTTTGGCGTGAAGTTTTTTGGCTTTGTCGGTTAGTTGGTATAAAACAATGAAACTACTGCTTAAAATGCAGAAAATATGTATTTTTGAAATATTGGAATATATTGTATGTGCATTTACTTCTGAGAAGGCCATATAGTCATTACAAGATGAATGCAGTCGCAAGAGACCATCTACAACACAATGGATCAATTATTATGGAAAAAAGTTCAGAGACACTATTGTGTATGAGTTTTGTAGTTCATCAATCACCATAATGGAGCAGGCAAATAAAAATAATTTTTTACAATTATGAATAATTTTCTGATTATGGCTTGTGTCTGGGATTGCTTTGCTAACGATGCTCAGATGAATGCTTCAGGTCTCTCTCTTCCACAGTGAACTCCTCATCTCTATTCACAATAACATCAACATGTAGCAAGAATATTTATTGCAAATAATCACTCAAGCGCATTCAGTAACAAAGTAACAAATATCAAGAAGTCAGGTACAACATGAAGTGGACATACCATATTCGACCTAATAAGCATTGATGTAACTAAAATGTTTTCGATAATAGTTACTATGCAATTATATACCCCTCTACTGTTTTCTTAATATTCACGACCGCCTCCGTGGTCTTGTGGTAGAGCGTCCGCCCGGAGAGCGGAAGGTCCGGGGTTCGATCCCCGGCCGCGTCATACCAAAAGACGTTAAAATATTAGTTCTCGCTGTCGCTAAACTTTGTTTAGCGGCAGCGAACTTAGATCTGATTTTGAAGAGAGTGTTAAAAGAAGGTACTTGTTGTTACCCTGTCTGGCGCTCGGCATTAAGGGGCTAAAACAAGGACTGGTCGGCTCGGAGTCAGTATACTGTGTCTGAGTGGGGTATTCATGTTAAACTGCGGCATGGTATCTCAGTGAGCTAGCACTATAAATCGGCATCAGTCCGGACTAGTACAAGCAGCCACACAAACACACACACACGTACATGCACGTCGCTATATAAGTGCAATAATCTTGGACGCAACGTTAAACCCCATTTCACCTCACCTCACCTCACCTCACCTCACCTCACCTCACCTCACCTCACCTTAATATTCACGAAAAAAATACAGTCTGTCATGTAAAGTTTTGGTAGGGAGAACATATGAAGAATACTTACCTACAGATTGTTCTAGAATTTGGTAAAGGGGTTCTTATAAGAGCTAGGTCCTTAATATGGCGAATATGGTACATATACTCAGAGTCCACAACCATAACACAACATCAGATACATGGAAATCTGGTCTCAGAACTTAAAACCTGTGTAGGAAACAAACTAATAATCACATAATGTGGATTATCATAGATGCGCTCATGCTCCAATAATTCTTGTATCAAAATATATTTGTTCGAATGCTTTGTTTGAACTGAAAGACAAATATACATGATATAACATGCAAAATAAATACCACTGATACCAAATACATACAGAAAATATTTCCTTTCAAAGTTATCACAAATTGTATATAAAACCCATCCATCACAATAAAATGCTGAAAGTTGACATAAATAGAGAATGCATGTGCTAAGATGCGTGGCAACAGCGACAACACAACTTATATATATATAAGTGATATCAGAGATTCTGTTCTTGTGTCTTCCAATCAGCAAGTACATCCACTGCCTGAAGTCTTCAGATAATTCATCATTTAACACTGTAAGGTTAATTCCATCTCACTTTCTTCTAAGAATAGAATATTCAATGTGATGCTGAAGTTGAAAATCATTAAGAAATTAAACCATATCAACCAAAACTTTTCATTTTTTAATAATTTTTTTAAAACATATGTGAACTTTCTTGAATAGCTATGTTTTATCTAGTAAAAAATGTACGAAGTAAACTTAAAATTTATTCTTATAAGGCATTTCAACCTAATCATTTAGTAATTTTGTATTAGCAGGTTATGAAAATAATTTGAATACAAAAGGAGATAGTGCCAGATTGAGAATGGTTAGGGGGCTGTTTAATCACAATAAACAAATAATTATTCATTAATGTAGTCACACCTTTCTTTTCTTAATGTCACTATGTGATATAAGAATAATGCCTATCTATCCAAGTTTGTATATCAATAATTACGGACAATCATACACACCCTACCGATCTCATGAGGAATGGTACTTCTCGACACATCACAAATGTACCTTTCAATATATTATTTACTACGTAACTTCACAACATTGTAAACACCTTCTTGTAACAGTAAACAGTTCCAAACGAAATGTTTTACCAAGTGACACCATTATAGAGCCAAAAATATGTATTACAAAACAGGTATAAATAATGAAAAACAAATTTCCTCATTGTCAAAATAGGAATTTGATTATAACATGCTCGATAACATAACAGATCTCAGTTCATATCACTCCATTGCCTGGTGCCTGGGAGACCATACAAACAAAGACATCAGCTCAAACACCATCCTTCGTTGGCACAAAACCCTCACAGACATAATACTATATTGTTGAATGAGTATAGAAATGCAGACACATAGCTCGTATATCATCTTCCCGAGACAAGCGAGTTAACTGACTATAAAAGTCCAGTTTCCACCCTTGCCGAACTAAGCTGGTATTATGGAGTTACATTTTGGATGGACTAACGAGTCTATGCATAGTCCAATCAAAATCTCGCAACGTTTTATCACAATATAGATCTTGATTAACGATCAGATCGTCTTGACTGGGCACCGCCATTTTGTTTGAAACAACTGCAAGAGATGGAATCAGAAGGGACATAACTCATAATAACCACTGGCGGCGCTACGATCGAGCCCAGGAATTCCAATCTAGTTCGGCAAGGGTGGAAACTGGACTTTTAAAGTCAGTTAACTCTCTTGCCTCGGGAAGATGAGCTTATATTGACCTGTCAAAGACTAAGACAAGTACACACAGCCTATATTGACCAGTCAAGGACTAAGACAAGTACACACAGCCTATATTGATCCGTCAAAGACTAAGACAAGTACACACAGCCTATATTGACCTGTCAAAGACTAAGACAAGTACACACAGCCTATATTGACCAGTCAAAGACTAAGACAAGTACACACAGCCTATATTGATCCGTCAAAGACTAAGACAAGTACACACAGCCTATATTGACCTGTCAAAGACTAAGACAAGTACACACAGCCTATATTGATCCGTCAAAGACTAAGACAAGTACACACAGCCTATATTGATCCGTCAAAGACTGAGACAAGTACACACAACCTATATGCAGAATAAACCAGGTACACAGAGGAGATATGGACAAGTCAAAGACAAAGACAGGCACACACAGCCTATATGGACCAGTCAAAGACAAAGACAAGTACACACAGCCTATTCTGACCAGTCAAAGACGAAGCCAGGTACACACAGCCTATATTGATCCATCAAAGACTAAGACAAGTACACACAACCTATATGCAGAATAAACCAGGTACACAGAGGAGATATGGACAAGTCAAAGACTAAGACAGGCACACACAGCCTATATGGACCAGTCAAAGACAAAGACAAGTACACACAGCCTATATGGACCAGTCAAAGACTAAGCCAGGCATACACAGCCTATATGGACCAGTCAAAGACTAAGCCAGGCATACACAGCCTATATGGACCAGTCAAAGACAAAGACAAGTACACACAGCCTATATGTATCAGTCAAAGACTAAGCCAGGCATACACAGCCTATATGGACCAGTCAAAGACTTAGCCAGGTATACACAGCCTATATGGACCAGTCAAAGACTAAGCCAGGTATACACAGCCTATATGGACCAGTCAAAGACAAAGACAAGTACACACAGCCTATATGGACCAGTCAAAGACTAAGCCAGGTATACACAGCCTATATGGACCAGTCAAAGACAAAGACAAGTACACACAGCCTATATGTATCAGTCAAAGACTAAGCCAGGCACACACAGCCTATATGGACCAGTCAAAGACAAGACAAAGACAGGTACACACAGCCTATATGGATCAGTCAAAGACTAAGCCAGGTATACACAGCCTATATGGACCAGTCAAAGACTAAGACAGGTACACACAGACTATATGGACCTGTCAAAGACTAAGACAGGAAAACACAGATCACATGGACCAGACAAAGACTAAGCCAGGTACATGCATGGACTCATGGATGGCCAAGTTCTGACCTGGCCTGACTGAGGAAACCCACCACCAAGACAGTCAGCACCAGTGAGATATAGTTCCTTATTTGCCCAGTATAGCCAACAGCAGCTGCTTGTAGTCCCCGGATGTGTCCGACTCTATCACGGCAGACAGGGGCTTCTCGTACTTCCCCTCGTAAATCTCCTTTATGTCCTTCAGGTCGATCTGAGAGCACATGCAGGTCAAATGATAGCAGCAACAATTTAAATTAGTATGAATAGATTTAGAAAGATAGATATATACTGTCAATGTTTTGTTTTTCATTTTTGGTCATTTTTTTCATATACACATTACCAGTAATTATCAAACCATTATGATTATCAATTATATTTTTATCTAAGTCTATGTTCAAAATCTGTTTCAGAATTCTTTTAAATCTTTGCAACTATTTGTTTGTTGTTTAACGCTGCACTCAGCAATATTCCAGCTGTATGACGGCGTAAATAATCGAGTCTGGACCAGATAATCCAGTGATTGACATCATGAGCATCGATCCATGCAATTGGGATACGATGAAATGCATCAACCAAGTCAGCAAGCCTAACCACCCAAACCTGTTAGTTTCCTCTTACGCCAAGCATAGTCGCCTTTTACGGCAAGCATGGGTTGCTGTAAACCTATTCTAACCTTGATCTTCACGGGTCTCTTTGCAACTAAGAGATCACACCTGAGCACAGATGAAGATCTGATACATGTGATAAACAATACTAACCTCAGATCTAGAGACGATAATTCGGATAAGTGTGGTATCTTTTGTACCCAGCCCACTCAATGCCTTGTGAAGTCTGTCAGCAAAATATTCTGGTCTGTTCCTGGCTGCTCTGACTAGAAGAGGAAGAATGTATACACATATAGCAATACTGAAAACCCCGGTACCACCTCACTAAAACACTGCTTCAAATAATACTTGTTTTCAGTTTTTGTTTGTTTCTTGTTTAACACCACACTCAGCAATATTCCAGCTATATGAAGGCGGTCTATCAATAATCAAGTTTGGACCACACAATCCAGTGATTGATATCATGAGCATCGATCCACACAATTGGGATACGATGACATGCATCATCAACCAAGTCAGCAAGCCTGACCACCTGATCCTGTAAGTCGCCTCTTACGACAAGCATAGTCGCCTTTTATGGCAAGCATGGGTGGCTGAAGACCTAGTCTACGCCGGATCTTCACGAGTCTCTTGTTTTTAGTCAACAAATTGTACTGAACATTGTTCTCTTGGAAACATAGAAAACTGTGACAGAACATAACAGTACCTAGGGCTTTCAAGCCACTCTCCAAATTGCCCGACATCTCACTTTTTATTGACTCCAAGATATCACACCCTGCTACCTGAAAACAACAAATATTTACACTTGAAGGTGAGGTGAGGTGAAATGGGGTTTAACGTCGCGTCCAAGATTATTGCACTTATATAGCGACGTGCATGCACATGTGTGTGTGTGTGAGTGTGGGGCTGCTTGTACTAGTCCGGACTGATGCCGATGTATAGTGCCAGCACACTGAGATACCACGCCGCAGTTTAACATTAATACCCCACTCAGACACAGTATACTGACTCGGGAGCCGATCAGTCCTTGTTTTAGTCCCTTAATGCCGAGCGCCAGACAGGATAACAACATCTTTTAACGTCTTTTGGTATGACGCGTCCTTCTGCTCTCCGGGCGGACGCTCTACCACTAGACCACAGAGGCGGTCTACACTTGAAGGGATCCAGGTTCAGGGAATTAGCAGTCCCAGCAAATTCTGATTCAAATCCCTCCAATACCACTGTTAGAGTCTGCCAGGCCGAATTTATGTATATATACATATATACTACTCACAAGAAGTTAAAGATCACCTGATTCTTGTATATTACTATAGTAATTCTGTCACATATCAACAATAATAATATGAAAGAATCAGGTGATCTTCACTTCTTCTTAGTAGTATATATCAAAAATGGATGTTTTTGTCTACAGAATTGCGGTGACAAATTTCTCAGTTTCACCCAGGTATTATATCATCTGGACTAGCAGAACATGGGCACTGTAGCTCGGAACATAGGCCCTCTTTAAAGTACTGACATAAATCACCCCATGGACGTGTTGCACGCACTGCCAAAACCATTACAACCGCTCTATTTTTACAAATGTTTTCTGTGATTATCTTGTGCAGTAAGTGTGCATCCTATTGCAAAGTGAAGCCATGTTGTTTACCTTCTCATACTCCACAAACACAGCTCGGAGCTGGTAGTAGTTCCGGATTGCCAATATCTGACGGAATGTAGACTCGTCTGTCCCCCATTTGTCCTCTCCAGCATCAAACAGTCTTTGTGCATCCTCCTTGGCCTGGTCCCAGTCCACGACACCCTCCCAGCCCTCGGACCTCACCGTCTCCAGCTGCTCTGCAGACAACTCATTGCGGGCACCCTGTGTATAGAAACATCAGTTAGTCCACGACACCCTCCCATCCCTCCGACCTCACTGTCTCCAGCTGCTCTGCTGACAACTCATTGCGGGCACCCTGTGTAAAGAAACATCAGTTAGTCCACGACATCCTCCCATCTCTTTGGATCTCACCGTCTTTGGCTGCTCTGTCGACAGGCACCCTTTATACATAATTAGCAGTCAGTATGTGCAGACATCTCATTAGGCTTAAAAAAATAAAGGAATTGGTTCTCAGGCTATGTTTTTTTAAAATATAGTGCGGGCGGGCGGTGTCTTTTCTTTTTTTTTTTGATGTTCAAACTAGTATGTAACCAAATAAACAGTTGTGTAATCAAATAAATTGTATGGAATACAGTATTGGAACAACCATTGGGCTTTTTTTAAAAATGGAAATAAAAACGAAAGATGCAGCGAACTTTATGGTGATGCAGGCGATGCCAGAGAACCAAGACTTATTTTTTTTAGCCTTATAAGCACCTGTGTAAGTGAACAATGATCAGATGCTGGTTTGTTTCAAACTTTCACTTCATTCAAATTACATTTTTCTTTAGAGACATGGAGTAATTCAAATGCTGCTTACCAATGGGCCCAAGTAGGCCAAATAAAGATTAGTGAAGTATACAAATATATTTGCCTACAATTAAACTTAAAGACAGAAATGACCTCACCTGACAACATGACACCATCAGTCGTTTAAACTGACCACTTGTGTCCTCCATGATGTCCTGTTCAAGTTCTCGTCCAAAGTCTGCAAACAAAATATAGAATGGTGTCAATAATTAAGACTGTAATGATTACCTCCCTTTGGCCTCTGATTACCTCCCTTGGAAAATGTTTCTATTTGTGATTACCTCCCTTGTTCTGCCAGTTCTTGGGAGGAGAACAAGAAATATTGAACAAACTTTAGACACAGAAAGTATTTGATATTTTTGGAAGTATATACTTAAGTATGGGTGTTAATTAGGTTTTGGGGTGGGGCAGTGAGGTGTGAGGAGTGGGTTGTTGGGTTGTGAGGTAGGTGTGGGGTGTTGGGCTGTGTGGTTTTTGGGGTGTGTGGAGGGTGCGGTGTGGGGTGTTGGGGTGTGTGGAGTGTTGGCTGTTGGGTGTTTGGTGTGAAGTGTGAGGTAGGTGTGGGTGTTGAGGAATGGGGTGTCGGGCTGTGAGGTGTGGGGTGTTGGGGTGTGACGTGTGGGGTGTTGGGGTGTGGGGTGTAGGGTGTGGGGTGTTGATTGCATTGTTGGTGTAGCTTGAAATCTTGAAAACCTTTTCTTTAGCTTTTTCCATTATTGTTATCAATTTTTTCCCCCAAGAGATTTGATCTTTCCCACGAATGAGTATGTTATCTATGTTCTCATCTGCTAATATAAACATTCAATAATCTTGACAACAGAAAGTACATACGCTCCTTGTAGGAGCTCACAATGGCAGCTATCTGGTCATTTGTTCGAGTACACAGAATTTCTATCAGGATGTGATCTTTAGTCCCAGGTCCCTGCAACACAACAAAAAAATAGTCATCTCTCTACAGATGAGTTGAGGTGAAATGGGGCTTAAGATCCCATTCACCATTAACTTATACATCAATGTTCCTTGGAAATTTCACATTCTTTAAAAGTTATGGTAAACACTGAACAGACTTTCTGACCTATGCAGACAGCACAGGGTTCCTGATTGTCTCCTATTTGTGATTCCCTGTGACACTCATCCACAGCACAGTCTATTTACATTTTAACACAAATGAGGAAGGTGCCTTAAATTTAGTTTCAACAAATACCAATTGTTTGTTTCAACAGATTTTAGATGTATGGGCAGGTGGTATTTTTTGTAGTGTAAAAGCAAAGGTAAAAACATTCTTTTCTCTTAAACTAAACGACCTGAGAACCAAATAATTTTGTTAAATTCACAAATTTTATCTGTATGTATATAGTACTCCACTTGTCATCTTTCCCCCAAGACAACTACCTTATAAATAGCACTTGGTAATCTCTCATGTACTGACAGTATTCTTCGAGTGAGTGAGTGAGATAGATTTTAGGAAACTTCATACAGTAACTTTCAGTTATGTCCAAAGGAGGCATACTTTCTCAAGAGGCTGATATATTGACCTCCACCTGCATGACCTGACATAATGACCAAAACAACTTGACATTTTGACTTCCACCTGAAATTTTGACCTCCACAACCGGACCTACATGACCTGCCATACTGACCTCCACAACCTGACCTACATGACCTGACATACTGACCTCCACAACCTAACCTGCATGACCTGACATACTGACCTCCACAACCTGACCTCCACAACCTGACCTACATGACCTGACATACTGACCTCCACAACCTGACCTACATGACCTCCACAACCTAACCTGCATGACCTGACATACTGACCTCCACAACCTGACCTGCATGACCTGACATACTGACCTCCACAACCTGACCTACATGACCTGACATACTGACCTCCACAACCTAATCTGCATGACCTGACATACTGACCTCCACAACCTGACCTGCATGACCTGACATACTGACCTCCACAACCTGACCTGACATACTGACCTCCACAACCTAACCTACATGACCTGACATACTGACCTCCACAACCTGACATACTGACCTCCACAACCTGACCTACATAACCTGACATACTGACCTAGATGACCTGACATACTGACCTCCACAACCTGACCTGCATGACCTGACAACCTGACCTGCATGACCTGACATACTGACCTCCACAACCTGACCTGCATGACCTGACATACTGACCTCCACAACCTAACCTGCATGACCTGACATACTGATCTCCACAACCTGACCTGCATGACCTGACATACTGACCTCCACAACCTGACCTACATAACCTGACATACTGACCAACACGCCTGACATTTTTATCTCCACCTGACATACTGACCTCCATGGCCTCCTTCAGACTCCAGGCATCATAGAAGGCTGGAGCCTTGAAGAGTCCCAGCATCAGCTCCTTCAGGTCTCCGCTCAGCTCAGACTTCAGGTCCTCTTGCAGGTCCTGGGAACAGCTCAAACATTACATACCCGCTTTGTTTGTTGCTTAACGCCACACTCAGCAATATTCCAGCTATATGATGGCGGCCTGTAAATAATTGAGTCTGGTCCAGACAATCCAGTGATCGATATTATGAGCATTGATCTATACTGTCGGGGTACGAGGACATGATATCAACCAATCCACCGAGCCTGACCATGCAATTCATCTGGCCCTCTTTCAAACAACATATAGTTGATAGGGACCTATCCTGACCCCGAATACCCCTGGAGAACACACTTCTGGTGTCAACCGTAGTCAAGGTGAAAATAGGGTTCTCCAGCTGTTGTATTCATTAGTACCACAAATATCATAGACATTGCCTCTGAATACAAACTGTATCTGATCAGGATGAAATATTTATGGTTAAACCTTGAAAAACCATCCATCCTGCACTAAATGTGACAACAAACATCACTACTGTCTTTCATTGAACTACTTAAATTGTAGTTCTACAATTTGCATACCTTATCAAATATGATTTAAGATCTTACTAGTGATTACAAGATTATTTCAAATCAGTTAACATTACAGTTACGTATATTTGTGTACTTTAAACAAAAAAAATTAAAATTCTGTAATGTGTCTGCAAAATTTCTGCAAAGGTGTAATTCTGCGGAGAATTAGGCAATTTTTCTTCAATCATGCAATTCTTCAGGCAACATGTTTTGGAACAGCTAATGTGAATGAGTGAGTTCAGTTTTACGCCGCTTTTAGCAATATTCCAGCAATATCACAGCGGGGGACACCAGGAATGGGCTTCACACATTGTACCCATGTCGGGAATCGAACCCGGGTCTTCAGCGTGACGAACAAACGCTGTAACCACTAGGCCCACTGCTAATGTGACAAAATGTGACAAATGTTTAATTTTTATACACAAGAGAACACATAACAATGGCAACTATCTAATGTGGGCCGCCTCAAGAAATCAGCATTGCCTCCAATGTTTTTGTCCTATTTGATGTGAAGTGCCCTGCTCACCTTGCCGTACATGGTTTTATATGTAACAGCTGTCTCCTGTCTCTGATGACCGGACCGGTGACCCACAATGTCAATCAAACTGAGTTCATCCGTACCTAGACAAACAAGAGACAAGACTTAACCTTGACACAGTGAAATACCTTTCCCTGCTTCACCAATGTTGGTGGGTTGGTTTGTTGTTTTACGCTGCACTCAGCAATATTCCAGCTATATGACGGCGGTCTGTAAATAATCGAGTCTGGACCAGACAATCCAGTGATTGATCTCATTAGCATCGATCCACGCAATTGGGACTGATGACATGCATCAACCAAGTCAGCGAGTCTGACCACAGATCCCGTTAGTCAACCCCTTACGACAAGCATAGTCGCCTTTTACGGAAAGCATGGGTTGCTGAAGACCTATTCTACCCCTGATCTTCACGTGTCGCTTCACCAATGAACTACAAAATACATACAATACATGACAAAATGTTCTATACGATTAATAAACGATTTCTTGTTTACGGTGAAATATGAATGATAACAGATAACAATGATAACAGTGGTGATATACTTATGGGAAAAAAGGAACACGCAGCATATACACGCAGCATATACACGCAGATATACATCCACACAAACACACAGTTCCCATGATGAAATAAATAAGGATATTATTACATGTTTCAATTAACTGAAAGCATGAGTTTAAAGAGGTAAAGCAAGACACAAAGGAAACAAGACCTTGAATTGTAACAGCTTTGTGCTGGTAACTAGTGCTGATGGACCCAAGAATGTAATGACCACCTCACCTGACCCTCTCATGGCCTGCTTGAGAGTCTCAGCATCCTTCTCAGCAGAGAAGCTATCAGCATCCACAACAGTGGGTGTGAACTCTTCAGCATTGCCGTCCAGACTTACGCCAACATCCTCAGCTTCCTTCTCCTCTTCCTCCTGACAAAAGTCAAGTTCAAATCACAACAAACTGTAAAACATTTCATTACCAAAGGCAGCAAATTCACATTTACCATGTGGTGTTAATATCTATACCACTTTTTAGTATGAATTGTAATCTGTATAAATTAAATCTCTCGTGAGTACCACAGCATGCAATCAGTAGAAATCTGACTCTGAGGCCTCCAGTGTTTGTTTGTTTGTTGTTTAACACCACACTCAGCAATATTCAAGCTATATGACAACAGTCTGTAAATAATCGAGTTTTGACCAGACAATCCAGTGATTGACATCATGAGCATCTATCCATGCAATTGGGATATGATGACATGCATCAACCCAGTCAGTGAATCTGATCACCCGATCCTGTTAGTCACCTCTTACAACAAGCATAGTCACCTTTTACTGCAAGCATGGGTTGCTGAAGACCTATTCTACCCCCGATCTTCACGGGTTGAAAGCCTCCAGTGAGTGGATGTTTTACACTGCAGTCGGCATTATTCCAGCTAAGAAATATCTTCTCAGAATTCTTGTTACAAACAGTCTATGCCAAAACCCTTCAGCTTACCAGACACTACAGCAGTGAGTAAGGATATCAAAAGTTTTTTAAATCATTACCAGATCAGTAAACTATGAGAATTTTGCTGTTCGAAGTAAAAGATACAAATTCTGTCATGCTAACAAACATTTGTACTAGCTTGCCATTGTATAGTTACCAGCACCTCAAAACCCATAGGGTCGGTGGGAAAGCCTGGTGGTAAAACCGTTTGTCCATCGCACCCCACATGAGTACAATGTGTGAAACCCATATGTGCTGATCTCTGTGATATTGCTGGAATATTGCTAAAAGTGGCGTGAAACCTCACTCAGTCAGTCAGTCTATATCCATCGACATATCTTACTTTCTCTTCTTCCTCCTCTTTCTTCTCTTCTTCCTCCTCTTTCTTCTCTTCTTCTTCCTCTTTCTTCTCTTCTTCTTCCTCTTTCTTCTCTTCCTCTCCACCTGAGTGTTCTTCCTTCACCTCCTCCTGTTCTTCCTTCACCTCCTCCTCGTGTATAGTCTCTGGATCTGCCTCATCATCAGCATCAGACTCTTTCTCATCACAGGGCACACCAGCCTCTGTAACAGGGACCACAGTAGCATCTACATCCAGCATGCTGCCAGGCTACATATCACTATCTTTAAGTGGCATTGGACAAGTTGAAATATGAGGGAAGACAGAAATGACTCCTGGATTTTAAGTTTTTTAGTCTTTCTATATGACGTCTTGGTAGAGGTGCTCGTACTTTTTTCAGTGTAGCTCTTGCAAGTAAGTGTTTACTGGTTAAAGCACTTGTACTGACTTTAACTGGTGGCATGTGGTGTTGTGTACAGAGTCCAGGCCAGAAATCAGGCAAGACATTAGGCAAAGTTAGTCAAAATTAGTTGGAGAAAGCAGTTGGATGAGTAACAGTGTTGGGCAAACTCCTGAGAGTTTCTAGTCCTGCTCCATACTGAAACACATGTTATATGTGGTGTTTTCTGAGGCAAGAGACTTTGTTCGAAATATGCCTCTGTTCCCTAGCAGCGAGGTGAGGTGAAATGGAGTTTCATAAGAGATTATTGCACTTATATAGTGACGTGCCTGCACATGTGTGTGTGTCGTTGCTTGTACTCATCCGAACTAATGCAGAATATTATAGTGCCAGCCCAATAAGATACCATGCTGCAGTTGAACATGAATACCCCACTCAGACACAGTATACTGACTCCGAGCCGACCAGTCCTTGTTTAAGCCCCTTAATGCCGAGCGCCAGACAGGGTAACAACAAGTACCATCTTTTAACGTCTTTTGGTATGATGCGGCCGGGGATCGAACCCCGGACCTTCCGCTCTCCAGGCGGACGCTCTACCACTAGACCACGGAGGCAGTCCGACAGGCAGGGTAACAACAAGTACCATCTTTTAACGTCTTTTGTTATGACACGGCCGGGGATCCAACCCCGATCTTCCGCTCTACCACTAGACCACTGAGCCGGTCCCCCAACTGTGAATTGGTACCCAGTTGGATATGATGGTAATGTGACTGTTAACTTTCTAGCGCTTCATGAGGCTGCTTTAGTTGCATACTCCCCAGGGGGCTGAGAATGAAATTCGAGTGCTCATTGATCCACTGACCGGGTAATAATGAAGCGCTTTAAGCATGTTTTAGAGTGTTGATTTGGCGCATTACAAATATGCACATTATTGTTAACTATCCGAATGCATGAATAGTGGTTTAAATGACTCTCAGCAATAAGGATCATCAAAGGATGGTACAGCTCACAGCCTTCCTCTCCATCCTACCCCTGCAACCCTCCTCCGCCACCTCAGGCTCTCCATCACTAACACCAGGTGGTACAGCTGTCCTGTCTCCCTACCCCTTGTATCCCTCTCTCCCCCTCCTATAACCATTGTTGCATCCCCTGTAAGCCCCTCTGCCGCCTCCAGCTCTCCATCACTAACACCAGGTGGTACAGCTGTCCTGTCTCCCTACCCCTTGTATCCCTCTCTCCCCCTCCTATAACCATTGTTGCATCCCCTGTAAGCCCCTCTGCCGCCTCCAGCTCTCCATCACTAACACCAGGTGGTACAGCTGTCCTGTCTCCCTACCCCTTGTATCCCTCTCTCCCCCTCCTATAACCATTGTTGCATCCCCTGTAAGCCCCTCTGCCGCCTCCAGCTCTCCATCACTAACACCAGGTGGTACAGCTGTCCTGTCTCCCTACCCCTTGTATCCCTCTCTCCCCCTCCTATAACTATTGTTGCATCCCCTGTAAGCCCCTCTGCCGCCTCAGGCTCTCCATCACTAACACCAGGTGGTACAGCTGTCTGTCTCCCTTCCCCTTGTATCCCTCTCTCCCCCTTCCACCTACCTGTAGCTTCCCCTTCAACCCCCTCTGCCACCTCCTGTGCTTCATCACTGACACCAGGTGGTCCAGCTGTCTGTCTCCCCCTCCCACCTACCTGTAGTCTCCCCTTCAACCCCCTCTGCCACCTCCTGCTCTCCATCAGTGACACCAGGTGGTACAGCTGTCTGTCTCCCTCCCCCTTGTATCCCTCTCTCCCCCTCCCACCTACCTGTAGTCTCCCCTTCAACCCCCTCTGCCACCTCCTGCTCTCCATCAGTGACACCAGGTGGTACAGCTGTCTGTCTCCCTCCCCCTTGTATCCCTCTCTCCCCCTCCCACCTACCTGTAGCTTCCCCTTCAACCCCCTCTGCCACCTCCGGCTCTCTATCACTATCGCTGTCACTGCTACTGTTGCCAGGTTCGTACTGTTCACAGTCTTCTTCTGAAACACAATAAATACAATGCAGTCACATCTCTCCTCGTCAGCAGTTGCATCTGCATCACTAATCACATAAAAATTCACTTATAATGAAACTCTAATATTCAGAGCAGACTCACAAATAGTTTCATTTTAAATCAATCATTCTTTGTGGTATTTAGTCTTCAGGCCCACACACAGTTACACCCTATTAAGGTTTTACAAAAGTAACTAAAGATACATGATACAGGAACAAAGATAAAAATTTGACAGTGCATTGGATGCTATTTGTTCAAATCAAATATTTTCATTTCAGCAATATTAAACCATGGGATTTTCCCGATATCACTTCAACTATAATTACCGTATTCGACGTAATAAGAGCCAAGGCCGCTCTCAAAATTAGAAATAGGGGGCTCTTATTAGAATATTATTTTGTCGAAAAAATACAGAGTTGAAAGATAAATTTCGTGGTTTATGCTGACAGCCTGAAATGTTTATATACGAGAGATATATTTTTCCAGAATTTAATTGCCCATAATTAAGGGTGCATATAACACACGAGTGCATATTATTCGCGAATAAATAAGTATTGTGTACGGGAAGGGTGCTAATTGGTATTGTTCACGAGCCAAGATATTAGGAAATATCGCCGTGGGCGCTTGTAAGAGCGGGGCGCTTATTACATTGAATACGGTATTTACTTAATCGTGCTCAATAAATTGGAAAGAAGTGACACATCAATGTAGGACAGAGAGTATCAATGTAGGACAGAGAGTATCAATGTAGGATACAGAGTATCAAGGAATACCAGCTGAAAGTTTAATGTGAGTGATACTACTTGTTACACATTTATATTACAGCTGTATTCTATCATGCTGGTGACAAGTTAATGTCAAAAGTACACTGACATGTATATACACATTATGTTTTTGCATACAAAGGTTTAGCAAGCAAAAGAAAAAAGGCATTTATTTCACAGCAAATCTACCACTAATCTAGGTTTCAACAAATATTACAAGAATATATGGAGATTAGCTTGTTCCTGTCACTGAATACATCAATATACAGATGTATTTATACAGGAAATTAGGACTAGATATTTATGTCTTAGAGACACACAAAGTCGTTTAATAACATGACACATAAGACCATATGGATGGCGACTTCTACTGTGTGTATACAGATTTATCATATAAGGGGTAGGCTTCTTCGCAAGATACAGCCAATGGATAAAAACGTGGCGTGGCATGACAGATTAACAATAGTGATATGAAAGAACCGTTTGGTCCTTAAATTCTTTTGAGTGGTATATAATGCACAGGAAAATGGAGTGAGTGGGTTTAACGAGGTATTCCAGTTTATATCATGTCAGAAATGCAGGTCTGTTACGATTTACTTTGGTGAAAACCATGAGCACAGATATGATGCTGATACACATAGAAACAAAATCGGGGCTAATCGGGATTCGAATCATAGGTTTCTGGTGTGACCAAGGGAGGCAACTCCGTAAGCAAATTGCCTCTCCTGGGTCCCCCATGCCACTGGGTAATGGAGGATGTGTACACATAGAAAAAGAAGAAGCTGACAACCCATGTAGGCCTACTGCATTACAACCATTGACACACAGTTGAGAGGTCAAATGTTAAATATAAAAAGAATAGGGCTAAATGGGACAGATACAAACAGGGTATTTCTTTACCAAGAATACAGGAAAATAATGACACACTTGCAAACTCAAACAACAGGATGACAGTATTGAAGCAGGACGCGAGGGTACAAGCAACATAATCAACAGAACGCAATAAGCAAACTCGTCAAACAATATTTACTTCAACAGATATAGCTCCGCAGTGTCAGTGAGTGCTTTTACCCTGTTGGATATTATATACTACTCAAAAGAAGTTAAAGAACACCCAATGTTTTCATATGACTATAGTTAATCAGTCATTGCAAAAAATTGGATGTTCTTTACCTTCTTTTGAGTAGTATATATTGTGTTAGCTGCCATACTTTAAAGAAAATCTGAACACGGGCATAATAGAGAATTTAGATTTTCATCCTTTGTTTGTTGTTTAACGCTGCACTGAGAAATATTCCAGCTACATGACGGCGGTCTGTAAAGAATCAATTCTGGACCAGACAATCCAGTGATGGACATCATGAGCATCGATCCTTGCAATTGGGATACGATGACATGCATCAACCAAGTCAACGAGTCTGACCACCCGATCCCGTCAGTCACCTTTTACGAATAGCATAGTCGCCTTTTATGGCAAACATGGGATACTGAAGACCTATTCTACCCCCACCGATTTTCATCCTCACCCGCTTCACAATGAAACGAGTTGATTGACTGGCCTCAAGTACAAGCAGACAAAGAATATCACTACAAGTTTACTTGATTACATACACAATGTTTGTTAGCTTGATGGCGTGTCAGCTTGATGTGGGAGGAAAGCCCAAAGTGATGCAGGTCTCGGATGTTTACCACTTCGGTGAAACCCACGAGCACGGGTATGGTGCTGACAAACCTAGAAACCTAATAAGGGGCGAACCGGGATTCGAACCCACAATCATAGGTTTCAGCACAGCGAATTGCGGCCCCTTAGACGACTGGTCTACCCGTGTCCCCCTTTGATTTTGATGATTTCTACAAAAACTATTTTGTCAACAAGGGAGGTCAAAGATAAGATGAAAAAAAGACAGGTTATCTCCTTCCAACCCATACCCTGAGTGGCACATGTCAACAGATCTCCCATGACTAGTGACAGAGTGGGTTGGGGGTTACACATCTCACATTACTCCTGTGATAGCCAAGCAGGGGATATCAAAGAAGGGGCTTCACACATTGTGACCCATCTTCCCGAGGTAAGAGCATTAACTGACTTTAAAAGTCCAGTTTCCACCCAAGCCAAACTAGGCTGGAATTCCTGGGCTCGATCGTAGCGCCAGCAGTGGCTATTACGAGTTATGTCCATTCTATGCCTCTCCCATATGGACCAATCAGATTCCATCTCTTGTATCACATGCATTTGCTTCAAACAAAATGGTGGCGTCAAGACGATCTGATCGACCATCAATATCTATTTTGTGATAAAACATCAAATCACGTGAGCAACTTGATTAAAAACATGAAAAGATTTGGAAAATATGTGTTGACAACAAGTTGGCGATGCACATGCTTTGCAAATCCTGCAATCGACCGAACCCTGCATGACAGATTATAAACCGGATTTCGATTTTGGTGCACACTTTTGATTGGACTATGCATAGACTCGTTATCCCAGCCTAGTTCGTCAAGGGTGGAAACTGGACTTTTAAAGTCAGTTTACTCTCTTGCCTCGGGAAGATGATTGTGACCATGTGGGGAATCGAGCCGAGTGCTGGCCAACACTTACACCACTGGGCTAACTGATCTCTCTACATGAAGAGTGCAATGCAATACATCCTAACAGTGAGTGCGTGAGTGTTTGGTTTTGTGTCCCTTTGAACAGTATTTCAGTTCTATGCCAGCCTGTCAGCTTGGTGTGGAGGAAGGCTGGTAGTGATGCATGCTGGTAAAGCACATTAGCAAGGATAATGACAGTTACGACGCCTTAGAGAGTGTGGCCATTGATCTAGGGTTAGATATGGTACATTTGGTCATGCACATATATATACACTGTTAAAGACCCATGTGTGGCTGAAGAAGTGAGGGATGGAACATTGCTCATATCAAAGTCAGAAATATTCCAACCATATCAGACTAGCCTGTAAATCAAGTATGAGTATGGTCTTCCGCCACTTTTAGCAATATTCCAGCACAGGACACCAGAAATGGGCTTCACACATTGTACCCATGTGGGGAATCAAACCTGGGCCTTCAGCATGATGAGCGAACACTTTAACAACTCGGCTACCCCTCGCCCCTGAGCAACGATCGACACAGTTGGTGCATGACATCAGTTGAGCCACACCTTATAACCACGCAACCCTCATCACTTACAACAAACTGTGGGTCTACCCAGGACAATAACTGAAGTGGGCTGTGATAAACAGGTCAACATGCAAAGCAAGTGTAGAGGTGTTAACTGCACCTGATGAGAACATGGAGAAATCATCAAACAAACTGGTGAAATTATCGCTTACCTTTTCACAGTTCCAATGCAGCAATGAAAAACACTCCTAGTAACCAGGTAATTATGAAATTGTGAGAGTCGATATTCAACATATTCAAACGTGGACATTACATGTCCATGATAAATGAACTACATGGGATACTGACTTGAAGGAATAAATAGCTTTATCACTGCATGAATTGAAACCTTTGGAATGAAATAAACCCTGTAAAGTATTCAATATAAAGGGAATCCTGGCTGAATTGTATTGTCACTCTCCTACCCAGAGTTCCATGCGGCCGGCAGCCAGACAGCATAGTACCTCTGCCACAGGCCAGCGCCATGTGATGATTCGTCACATCTTTCACAGTCCATTCAAGATACTGAATATGCTTTTCATCTGTTTCATGTTTGACAAGTCTGCACATTTTCATAAACAAATGTCAAAGAATGGTTACGGTTCATTAAGAAAGTATCCCTTACGCGAAAATCTACTTGTTTCTGCGTAGTTATCCTTTGTTTACGTTGTTAAACGCCCCCAAATACTTGCATTAGTCCGTTCTATACTGATTTCTGAAAAAGCGCGTTTGTTTACAAACAAGAGAAAAGTCCGGTCACGTGATATGCAAATTAGCCTGTGGCAGTGGTGTTATGCTGCGTCAGCACTGTGCCGGAGTGTGCTGTATTGTAACAAGCCAAAATCTGCAATTTTCATTTCCCAGTTTCTCCAGGAATGTGTTCCCCCTGGAAACAGCATGCTACATATCAGATAAGGCACCCTTCCCTTCTAACAATTTTTCAGATTTAAATTCAAACATTTCTACAAATCTTTGATACAAATGTCAATCCATTCATAAAAAGGCACCTGTTTCATTTGATTTGTTTTTGGTTTTTTTGTCTAACGCCGAACTCAGCAATATTCCAGCTATATGACGGCGGTCTGTAAATAATCAAGTCTGGACCAGACAATCCAGTGATTGATACCATGATCATCGACCACGCAATTGAGATCAATGATGTGCATCAACCAAGTCAGCGAGTCTGACCACACGATTCCATTAGTCGACAAGCATAGTCGCCTTTTATGGCAAGCATGGATTGCTGAAGACCTATTCTACCTCAGATCTTCACAGGTCTGTTTCATTTGTAGCCGCATAAGCACAACATTTCTGAGTTATGTCATCATCAATCCAATGCCCCATATTTGCTCTGAATCATCTTGTACATCCGCGGAGAAACTTTTTGATCTCTATCATAATCATGGGCAGACAATATTGATAACTGAGTAATTGTTGGTCTTGCAGCCTTATTAAATATATGTGCCTGGCTTCTGATTGGTTCAAAACAAATTAATTTTAAATGAGATTCTAAGCCAGGAAATCTGGATCTTTCATTTGGTAGGAAAATCTCTCGTCACAAGTTTAAAATATTCAATTTAAAACCTCCAGCTTCTGTTGTTTGTTTCAAACTAAAATTCTGGGCAATGAATTTTCAATAACACAAGCAAGTAAGACCTATAGGTGACACCTGTTTAATGTGTTGGCTTAAGTATTTGTACAGAGCTGGAAACTGTTTTCTTCTGAAAAGATATTGCCAAATATACTTTCACATACTTTCAATATTGTACAAACCTCAACTGTCCATCTGTAACCAATAAGTGTACATACCGGGGTTTATTTTTTTCAAAATGTTTACCGACAATGATTGAGAAAGAGGTACCACTCTTTAAAAAAATAGCTTCAGCTGGGTGAGGATGATATTGGTACCACCTCAACAAGTCTTTTTGCTGAACATTTTTTAAGATTTAGCATGAAAAACAATTAAGACATTTCAACCAGGGTGAATATAAGTTTATTCATACTCTTCATAGGTTTTACACAGAAGGATAAATCACTTGTGCACAGGCAATAATGAATATGTAACAATCATTAAACTATTTGAAAAGAATATTCTTCCTCATTTTCCTCTCCAGTCCCATTAATTAAAAAAACTCTTGCAGGAATATTCTGTCGAAGAATTTATGTCAAGGTGAGGGAAATGAAAATGAAGATAAAATAAAATTACCAAGGCCTAAAACTATGATTGTGTAAATAGAATCCTGGCTAAACACACAGATACAACTAATTTTGTGGTTAAACATCTGATCCATATGCCAGTATTTGTTATAAGATAAAGGAACATTATCATGATTATAGTCAGAAAACATAAACATTTTGTTAATGTATCAGTATAAGGGACCATTTGCCTACTTGTAAATAATGGCAATTATTATAAAAAATATATGTACTACAATTACAGCTAAATGAATATATAATCAAAATTTAATTATGACAGAAATAAGAGTCAAACAAGACCTAAAAAGCTAGTACCTGTCAGTTACACTATAAAGTACCGGTAATTGATTAACACTCCTAACTGTACCCTGAGACAAAGACTGCTTGATTTACCAAATGTATGTTTTTCAAGGATGGTAAGAATGTATAATGAGCAAGTATACAAGGAACTGAAAGACAGGTGGAATCAATGAGAATAGGAGATAAATGATCAGAAACAGATTTATAACATAAACAAGAAAAAATGTCAAAATTTAACCAACAAGACATCAAATGTTTACCATAAAAACAAAAATACTTCTGAATAGTGTTATTAATCACGAGCAAGAGATACTCAAGTAGGATGTCACAGTTCACCCTGATAAAGTCCTGTGAGAAAAGAAACAGTGATTTAATGAAAATATGCTTATTTTGAATTTTAATTCCATATTTTGAGAAAAATGACTTAACAGACTTAACATCAACTTTGACATGTTTCTATTTTTCTACCTGTATCTTGTAACATTGACTTCAATTTCCATAAAACGGAAATCAACTTGTCAAGTCAGCAGAAAATACCACTCGACTACAGAACAACTTTCCACAACGTACATACTTCATTTAGTAGGGACATATTCATTGCCAAGATGGGTTACATGCCATAGGAAATCTACACTAACCAGATAAATGGAAACTATTTACCTTATTCTTTTTCAGGGGGATGGATTAAAATGTGAATTAATCAAAGACTTCTAACATGAGAAAAACTATTTCTACACAGCTAAAGATAGTGGTATTGTTATGTCGTAAATGTTTCAAAACAGGAAATATGTTTCTAAACTTTTCAGTGTGTCAGGGATCTAAGATGTGTCATTGTGAATCTACCACAGGGTCATATGAGCACGGCAGTGGAACCTCATTAATCAGAACCTCTTTTGTCTGGAGCCTCAATTATCAGGATCTCTAAGAATCTAGAGCCTCATGACTCAAGGTGCTTCTGTGGAATCCAAAAGGTAGGAAACTTCATGAAAACAATTCTGTCCAGGAAAAAGAGATTCCATTGCAAACAGTATAAATGACCATAAAAAACTGCCCTGTCATTAGAAAACATCACTATGGTAGTGGTAGTACAATGTCTTAGAAACTAATGATTAACTTTATTGCTAGTTGCAATTCTAGAGGACATACAGATAAGGCACCTTTCCCCTCCAATACACATTTTCAAATTTTAATTCAAACATTTCTTCAAATCTTTGATTCAAATGTCATTTTGCACAAACACAGGCATCTGTTTCATTTCCAGTCGCATAAGCACCATATTTCTGTGTTAGTTCATTATTAATCCAATGTCCCATATTTCCTCTGAATCAGCTGCTCATGTCTTTAGCGTGGTGGGTAATCTGGAAAAAAGGACAGGATTGCATATAAAGGCTTATGATCCTTCAAGTAAGAATAAAGCTAATGATAATTCAGTTATCATTAAATCTTATGATCCTTCAGTTATCAATAATGTTAATGATAATTCAGTTATCAATATATCTCATGATCCTTCAGTCATCAATATTGTTGATGTGATTCAGTTATCAATAAATTTCATGATCTTTCAGTTATCAATAAAGTTGGTGATCCTTCAGTTATCAACAAATTTGGTGATCCTTCAGTTATCAATAAAGTTGGCGATCCTTCAGTTATCAATAATGTTAATGATAATTCAGTTATCAATAAATCTCATGATCTTTCAGTTATCAATTAAGTTGCCGATCCTTCAGTTATCAATAAAGTTGCCGATCCTTCAGTTATCAATAAAGCTGATGATCCTTCAGTTATCAATAAAGTTGGTGATCCTTCAGTTATCAACAAATTTGGCGATCCTTCAGTTATCAATAATGTTAATGACAATTCAGTTATCAATATATCTCATGATCCTTCAGTCATCAATAAAGCTGATGATCCTTCAGTTATCAATAAAGTTGGTGATCCTTCAGTTATCAATAAAGTTGGTGATCCTTCAGCTATCAATAAAGCTGATGATCCTTCAGCTATCAATAAAGCTGATGATTTATCTAGACATGTTCAGAGGCTGATAATCTGCTCCACAGCTACAGCAAATTTCAGCAAACATTCCCAAATTAGATTTAAGATTTCATGTATTCAGATAATACAGTTCTATCTAATGTTATGGCTTTGCCGAGGCAACTCGTACTTCACTGACCTATGAGAGGAACAAACTTTAATGCTTTTATTTCCATTCATGCACTGAATACAATGTTAAAATATCTCTGTGTCTCAGCAAAGCCCACCCAGCCCCAACACCTTATTGGTAAGAAAATAGAGATAGGAGTCCTACTTGTAGGGTACTGGCCTGGGGGATACTGCCCTTGAGGAACTAGAGGAACAAAGACATAAGTAATACATGGATTTAGTGTACATCAACATCTCTCCAACCACATACACAAACTTAATTACTATATTCGCCATATTAAGTGCCCGGCTCCAATAAGCACCCCCTCAATCTCTAAATAATCATTATAAGTAACCGATACTACGACCGAAAATAAACATGACAGTGTGTCTCTTTTTGAGCATATCACAGATTTGTTAAAAAAAACCATCAGTATAGAAGGCTTATATAACTGCCTAGTAATTATAAGCGAAACAATTTTAGTTTTGTCGTCGTTCGAACTATTTTTGTTCATCACCGCATAATCTCTGACAACATATTTAACTCACCTTTTATGGTTTTAATAAGCATCCCCATTTATCAATTTCAGAAGAACCTAGGGCACTTATTACATTGAATATGGTAAGCAAAATTCAAAATCTTCAAAATGAAACTGTTACACATCACATTGAAATAAAAACTGATGTAAAAAATCCATTAAAGTGTATCATTATTAACAGAAAAGAAAATCTTTTGATACCAATGCAATTAATATTGTCTCACCTTGCCCATAGCCTGCTGGAGGGGGGTACTGTCCTGCGGGGTAAACAGGCCCGTGTGGGGGTGGGACAGCCCCGGCCGGGTAGCCTCCGGGGGGTGGGGCATACCCCCCTGATTGAGCTGCATATCCTGCGGGAGCTGCGTAGCCTGCAGGAGGAGGGGCATAGCCTGCTGGAGCGGGGGCATACCCTGCTGGAGCGGGGGCATACCCTGCTGGAGCGGGTGCATACCCTGCTTGTTGAGGGTAGGCTCCTGCAGGGTATCCCGCCGGTGCGTACCCCGCATGTGCGTACCCCGGTGCGACGTGGCCATGTTTGCCATGTTTGCCATGCTTGCCGTGTTTACCTGAGAAGTTCGGTCCAGCATATCCAGGAATGACGAATGGCTGGAAGATAACAACACTACATTATATCTTGTTACAATTTTCTCATGAACTACACCGAATGAATGTTATTTTATGCAGCAGTCAGCAATATTTCAGCTAGATCATGCTGTAAAATATTCAAGTCTTGGCCAGGCAAACCATTACCGTATTCGACATAAATAGCGCCCCGCTCTAATAAGCGCCTGCATGAGATTTGCTAATATATTGGCTTGTGAACAATCCCAATGAGCACCCCTTCCGACCCCTTTTCGCATATAATACGCACCGCTTCCTTCCCCTATCCGCGTATAATACGCACTCGTGTGTTATATACACCCTTTATTATTGGCATTTAAATTCTCGAAAAATATATCTGTCGTACATAAACATATCAGGCTTAAACCACGAAGTTTATCTTTAAGCTGTTTTTTTTTCACCCAAATAATATTCTAATAAGAGCCCCCAATGTCTAATTTTGAGAGCGCCCGGGGCGCTTATTACGTCAAATATGGTATGTCATTGTTGTGAGATGTTAACACATCAGTTCTTATCCTCCAATACAGCGTCATGTCAAAGGTCAGAAAACTACAAAAAAAACAATGAAGAAACTATTTTTATTCGGACATGAAATATTACTGGTATTTCCAGTTTGGTCTATGATTATTTTAAAAGGAACCATCTTTTGTTGCATGATTGTGTGTTTATTGGGGAATAATTGTGAAAAATGGGTGTCAAAAAGATGACTAGAGCGTGAATTTCGAAGGCTGTGGACGTCTGATGTTCAGGATCTTTTGAGATTACATCATCGTCCATTGATAATCATTGGGTAGTTCCAACAGGGAGTTCGTCAGTTGAGGTTGATGGCGCTTTGAACATTATTTCAGTTATATCACAGCCTGTCAGCTTGAGGTGGGAGGAAAGCCCTAAGTGATGCAGGTCCCGGATGTTTATCAGTTTGGTGAAACCTTTGAGCATGGGTATAGTGCTGACAAACCAAGAAAGAAAATCAGCATGCACCAGGATCTTGTTCCCACAGACAACTGATACCAATACATTGACCATATCAATTAAATTTCTTCGTTCACAGAAATAACACTATTCTTGCCATCAATTTTTACGATATTTATACGCAATGGATCACTGTTCTGTCTCAGACTACAATCAGCTTTCAGAACTTTGTTACAGGTGAAGTCAATATTTTCAGTTAAAGTGATAGAGGTGGGTTTAATGCCTCTTTGAACTGTATTCTAGTCATATCACTGGGTGTCAGCTTAATGTGGGAGGAAAGCCCGAAGTAATGCAGGTCTCAAACGTTTAACATTTTGGTGAAATCTACGAGCACGGGTATGGTGCTGACAAACCTAAAAACATAATTAGGGCGAACCAGGATTTGAACCCACGATCATAGGTTTCTGGCATGCCCAAGGGACACAACTCTGCACAGCAAATTGCAGCGCCTGAGATGACTTGGCCCCCAATGCCCCCTTTCAGTCGAAGAAACCATGATGACAATGGAAAACACGACCAAGACAAAATAGGATCTTAAAAAACTGTATAAAGGTGTACAAGTATCTGAACTACAATGTACTTACTGGTGGAGAACCATATGGGATCTTCCCCTGAAATAAACAAAGGATATACTTACAGAAATTATCACAATCATAATATTCCAGCTTTATGATGTTTATATTGCTCTCAGCAATATTCCAGCTATATGACGGCGGTCTGTTAATAATCAAGTCTGGACCAGACAATGCAGTGATTGACATCCTGAACATCGATCTATGCAGTTGGAATGCAATTACATGCATCAACCAAATCAGCAAGCCTGACTACCCAACTCTGCTAGTTGCCTTACAACAAGCATGGGTTGCGGAAAAACAATTCTAACCTAGATCTTTTCGGGTCTACAGTCATGATGGAAGCTATTACAATGTGTGAGTAATCATTCAAATATACTACTCAAAAGAAGTCAAACAACATGACATGAGAGATTAACTATTATCAAATGAAGAAATGTCTATTCTTTAATTACTTTTGTGTAGTATACATGGAGGAAACATTCATACATTTACATAATTCATGGATTTATCAGGACATGCTCAGAGGCTGATGTTTGTCTACAAGTTTGCTTCCAATGTCAGTCAATATTCCCAAGATCTGTGAAGATTCGGTTAAAGGGCAAGTTCACACGGAAATTAACCTATTTTTCTTGTACTTTTTCCACATTAAAAGTGTTAACCTAGAAGTGTCATAGACAAAAATATAAAGATATCACAATTAATTAACATATTTTTCGCATTAAAACGATTTATATTTTTCACATTTACCAAGTGTTCTATTTCCACAACAAAAACACCATGGCTTATGCCCCTTGCAATATGACGTCATTGGTGCCAATTGATAAACATTATGACGTCATCATGCTTTGTTAGAGCCGCTTCACGTGGTGTAGGTCTAGGTGTGTGATTCTAGCGTCTCAGATGCCAGCCACCATAGTGTTATGCTGAGTCACCACTGCGCCGGAGTGTGTCGTAGGCCATGTTGTTTTACCGCAAACTGGTACTTGATATTTTTTGCGTTGAGAATAGACAGGGACCCAGTTGAATTGGCACCAATTACGTCATAATCTAAGGGGGATAACTCAGGCCTGTTTAGCTCGAAAAACGAAGGCCTCATAACGGCATATCATTTTCACACTATTGTGAGCTTCCTACTTTCACTGTGAAAAAAATGAGTGTATATTTTCAAGCACAGATACTAATTAATTCTAAAATTGCGTTTTGTTTAGAAAAAGAAAGAAAGTGATTTTTGCGTGTACACTTCCCCTTTAAGGAATAGGTCTTCAGCAACCCATGCTTGCCGTAAGAGGCGACTAACGGGATCAGGTGGTCAGGCTCGGTGACTTGCTTGATGCATGTCATCATATACCAATGGCGTAGATCGATGCTCATGATATCAGTCACAGGATTGTCTGTTTCAGACTCAATTATTTACAGACCGACATCATATAGCTTGAATATTACTGAGTGCAGCGATAAACAACAAACAATCAATATTCAGGAATTAAACATTTACCAGTTCATGCTGCAAGGGCTTTGTACGGTGGCTTGTATTTCACTGACAACAGAATCAGTATGGTGAAGAGGCTTTAATGCTTAGTTTAACATTATAATATTGAATACAATGTTTAACTTCAATGTTAACATGCTTCTTACTTTAAAAATTTATTAAGAATTTTAAAAAATCCCAATTTTGAACAAAATAATTATTTTCCACCATGTGCCTGCAAAGAGCAATTATTTTGGAATCCTCAAATAACTCCCTGGGAATGTTTTAGTTGTGTTATTCTGAGGAGACCTCACTAAATTAACAATATTCCTGTATTTCCAAGGACCATGTAAATGATTGAAGACAGGGGTTGATAGTATGAACAACAACCATGTTGCCACACAATGAGCCAGGGCAAACACGACAACCTCCTAATCCCCATTAATTTGACTCTTTAAACAATAAAGAGTACTGGGGACAAGTTCTGTTCCCAAATATTTCCTCAATGGATTCCAAGCAAACGGCAAGGCAAAAATTACTAAAATATGGACCAGTTAGAGATCCTGGTATCAAGTGATACGGAGCGATCAAACCTCACCTAGCATGACTAGAATTGGCTAGAACTGGATAGAATAGAGGTGTTATAATACAGTGGGTCGCAATACGATAAATATCTCGAAACTATGGGTGTGATACGATTCGTATCCCGATACAGTACTTGTATTTCATGAGTTGATAATCATTCTTTTTAAATGTGAATCACAACCCTGAACATTGTTTTGAAATTTCAGAGATTGAAGATTGCATAGTGTTGGGCAGAAACATACAGTCGAGAAGACAATGTTTTTATCGCCAACCAGGAAAGACTATAGACTCTGCCTAAACTGAATGTTGATTAGCTTCTGTTATTATTTATGTTTTACACCAACATAACTAGTAATGCAAAGTATCGTATGTATCGCGATACAGGAGTTGTAAATCCATGTATTGGCCTCGTATTGCAATACAATGCTGTATGCAGGGATTGACTTAGGCCGCGATTCCACGATATTCTCGCATAGTTGTCATAGATATCAACATCCAATCAGCGCGATTGAAAATTGCGTAGATCTTTCAATAGGTTTATCTGCATTAAAATCTCATTTTCACCTACTAAAATCGAAAATGTTGTATTGCTTGAATAAATTTATCTATGGTACCTAAAAATGTCAATAAAAAACTTACACGCTAGTATTCATTCATCAAATGTTGTCAATCGAAACAGCGATTTGCATACTCGCAACATTGCATGCTATCTCTTACTGTGCATAACTGATTCCTATATCACTGCATGGAGCTTTGCATCAGCTGACAAAGGTGGAGATGGAATGGTGGAAATGCACAGGTGATGGTGGTAAACATGCCTCCTAAATGATCTATAATTGTCATCACGAATAATTCTCCCATCAAGTCAACAATAAACAGAAATACAGAAATATTAGCGTAATTTCTCCTAAAGTAGATAATGAACAGAAATATAAGTCGAATGTAATTTTTTGTTGATACTAATGCTAATATTTTTAAATACATCTCTTCACAGTGGAATAATTAATGTCAAAAATAGGATATCCGAGGATATATCTATATAACCTAGTAATATTACTTGCAACATTATTTGAGTCACAAATACCAAAAATAAAATACAGTTTCCCCACTGTGTGAAGATGAAATATCTCTGAAAATTAGCAAAATCTCATCACACGCCAAAAAATCTCATTGCTTTTGGTCCAGGGGAGATTTTCTCTCATAAGTAAAAATTTCCAGGATAATTCCTGTGTATGGCCGTATCGTTACACCACTATAGATTAAAATATATTGTTTTATCCATGTGCGATCATACACACTAATGTTTTATCATTAACTGCATTCTATCAGTGATCTTTGATAATAATCCATTTGTTCACCAATTACTAAATTAATCTGTTTTCCAGATTTTCATAATTCTAAAGAATGATATTCATGGACAAAGGTACTTCATTGTTTGTATACAGTCCATCTCCAGGAATTCCAAACAACTGACACTGCAAGATAATGTCTGATGTCTCACCTTCCTCATCTTCTTCTTCCATTTTTTCATCTGCTTCTTCTGATGTTTGGGAAGATGCTTCCACTCATAGTCTGAGGAATCAGAGGACGAACTCGAACTCTTCCCCATGCTTCAGACAGATTTATCAGTCCTGTGAAATGATTAAAAAAAAGTCATGGTATGGATAAAACACATCTCAGAAAACATAACCAACAATCTGAAAATAAATCTATGTACATTTCAGAAATACATATCAAAGGTATTATATATATCCAGCTTTCAAAATTAAATATAAAATTATGGGGTCTGCACATCTTTGTCAAAAACAACATAGTCCCTACAATAAAATATTACAGTAGAAAACCACAACGACTTAAACCAATCCACATCCATCAAGCAGAGTTCTATGAACAAAAGGTAACACTGTCCGTTCCTAGTGGTGGGGTAACCTAGTGGTTAAAGTGTTTGCTCATCACGCCGAAGTCCCAGGTTCAATTCCCCACATGGGTACAATGTGTGTAGCCCATTTCTGGTGTATTGCAAAAGCAGTGTAAAACCATACTCACTCACTCAAACACAATAATTAATAAATCTTACAAGGTTGTTTTCTACAATAACTGCCTGTTCAGCTATTGTTCATGTCACAGTACTCAGCGTACTCCGAACCACGGTGCTTGTACAGTGTATCTAGAACAAACGATACACCAGCGTCATGTGTCTACACTTGTGTAACAGGTGCTTGTTACAGCCTGGGGCAACAATGATCTATTATATCTATATTAAATTTGTAGAACTCAAACAAATTCCTGCTTGTTTACAACAGCAATACAAGCAATTCTATTTGTCATTTAGAAAAAAGGACCTCATAAAACAGATCATATATATCATATGTGAAGAAATTCTTTCAAAGGAACTCTTCAAGTAGCATATTCTCATTTTTTATTTAAGCCTTTTGAGATTACCTTTTTTGCAATTTTATTATTATTTTCACTTTGAGCACCTGCAGTACAGCAGTATAGGTTACATCTTCCTGAGCCAAGGGAGTTAACCGACTATAAAAGTCCAGTTCCCACCCCTGCTGAACTAGGCTGAAGTTCCGGAGTTTCATTTTGGCTGAATTAATGAGTCTATGCATATTCCTATAAAAATTCACATATTGCAATCGACCTCCGGTTCGTAAAACTGCCATGCAGATTTCGGTCGATTGCAACATTAGCAGAGCATGTGTTCCATCGGTATCCTCCCATTGGTTAGTTACACGTCCCGCTTGTCACACACCTTACAACAACATAGGTCATGGCTGAAGGCACTGACTGGTCTACCCGATGTTACCATGGTTACCTAAGTATTAGAATGGAGTGATCCAAGAAAAGTAGAAAAGCAATCTTGTACTTTAGGTACTTATATATAAAGATACTGTAAAAAAGTAAACTTGTACTTTCTTTGTGTATATTATTTGTTATAAATATCATATTGACTGCTCGCTTCTTAGGGTTTCTACTTGTTGTGCTTCTAGTGACATACCTGTTGCTGCACCTGTGGCCAGCATTATATATATGTTTATTCATGTATGGGAGGCCATAGGCCCATGTACATTTCAGTTATATATAGTAACACACAATTGAGGCAATTTACATTGAAAACAATACTAAGGGTACAATATTAGGTCTGTGTACGTAATAACAGAGCTTCCTTCACATACTTAGCTACATTTCTGAGCATACAGTCATTTTGGCTATTTAAGAGATTGCTAAAAGTATTAATACATGGATTGTTATAGAATCTTACAGGAATATACTTTTGTCTTATTGTTGCGTAAAACGGGCAGACAAACACAAAATGGACTTCGTCCTCAATACAACCATTGTTACATAGCCGACAAAAGCGTTGTGAATAAACAATATCCTCTCTTCTGCCCAGATTACTCCATAGAGGCAATTCACTTAATCTCAACAGGCACAGCATACGTCTATGGTCTCTATTTCTGAAAGCTGTAACATAATATTCCATATCCAATAATATCGTGAAGTGTGAATAATACCTTAATTTAGAAGACTCATAAATTTTCATCTGAATACTCTGTTTGTTACAATCCAACACACGCTGTCTAAACAGCTGCAAGAAACACTTAACATCACCAATATTCTGTTCGTGCCACACATAACCAAAGCCATAAATGTCGAGTAAATATTTTACATGAGTTGCCCAAGTAATTCTATCACATTCATCCAGCTCCTTCATTAACAAATAACACTGTCGGGGATATCTTTCATCATTCATTCTAATCAGTTTACACCAGTATTTAACACACTTCATATGATAATCCACATGCAAACCATATCTTCCACATTCAGCTAATATTGCTGTACTTGATACATATTTACCAACTCCGAAAACAAATTTACAAAACTTAGTATGAAAAGTTTCGACAATTTGACTACCTTTGCAGCCACAGATCTCAGCACCATAAAGAAGAATGGGCTTTATCTTAATATCAAACAATTTAAATAAAATGTTAACTGGCATATTTACAAAGTGAAACTGCAATTGTTTAATGGCAAACAACGCCTTATTGGCTTTTATCTTGAGGGTATCAATGCATTTAGTACAAGACAATCTATTTGAAAACAGAACACCCAGATAACTATAGTAAGTTGGTTGGTTGGTTTGTTGTTTAACGCCGAACTCAGCAATATTCCAGCTATATGACAGCCGTCTGTAAATAATCGAGTCTGGACCAGACAATCCAGTGATCAGTATCATGACCATCGATCCACACAATTGGGATCGATGACATGCATCAACCAAGTCAGCGAGCCTGACCACCTGATCCTGTTAGTCGCCTTTTATGACAAGCATAGTCACCTTTTACGGCAAGCATGGGTTGCTGAAGACCTATTCTACCCCGGAATCTTCACGGGTCCTATAGTAACTACTAACATTGATACGTTTATCATTCAAAAACCATCGTTCATCACACCTTAAAGTACCACCTCTTCTGAAAACCAAAATTTTGGTTTTAGACATGTTAATTTCAAATCCCCACATTTTACAAAAATTGGATAAAATATCAATTTTTCTTTGCAGACCTATTACTGTGTCATCAAATATACACAAATCATCTGCATATAGTAAAAGTAATGTCTTTAAACTCCTCTCCAATAGAAATCCCTCGCAAATCACTACTTTCTATCATAGACTGTAATTCAAGGATAAACATCGTGAACAGAAACAGACTCAACACGCAGCCCGGTCGAACACCAGTCAGTGATTCGAAATAATCTAAAAGAGAGTTATTTGATGTCCTGACAGCACACTGAATCTTAGAGTATAGATCCTTCAAAACCACCAATAAACGACCGTGTATTCCATTTTTCATTAATGAATACCACAAGAGCTTTCGGTTAATCGAATCGAACGCTTTACAGAAATCAACAAACAAACAATAAAATCTTCCCCAACGTTTAGAGAGATATTTTTGTGCTAAACACTGTAATGTAAATATATGATCAATTGTACTGTATCCGCTTCGAAATCCTGCCTGAGCTTCAGGAATTGTATCATAAACATCCGCAAAAGTCTTGAGTCTTTCAACTGTTGTCATCAACTTTCCAAATACATCCATCAGCATTATTCCTCTATAATTATTGACATCTTTATATTATCTTTCTTATGCCAGTATTAGGCATATTGTATTGTGTTCTAGCTGTCAAGGCGGCTCACGACAGTGCTTGATGCTGAGTGGAAGGCCTCACAACCAAAGTCTATTTTTGATCTGATAAGTGATTTCTAGTGGTCCAGCTGAGTGTCTCTCGATATGCCCCAAGATGTGCCTGAAATTGCCCGTAATACGTGCAGGTCTTTTTGACATCTGTTTTCCACATATTCTATATGTTTGCGCCAAGTGAGGTGTTGATCAAGGATCACCCCAAGAAATATTACAGATTTTTTCGAATTTGATTGGTTTGCCTTTTATGGCTTTGCGGTGGAAACAAACCCTGTATACCCAGGTAACATACTTAAAAAATTTGATTAAAACTGGAGTTCAGACCTTACTGTAGTCAAATATAATAAATACATGAACAATTAATTCACCAAAGAATATCTTATTGTTTCATATATATTGTTGTAAGACAGATTAACCATACATTCAATACAGATTAGTTGCCTTTTAGTCATATCATAACATTTCACAATAACATTTGTGCTAAAACTCCAGCTTGGCAATCAGAATGAATACCTTGGTCTCTGTGGTAATCCTATGTACTCCAGTGAGGACTGGTCCTTTACTCAGTAGGTGTTGTTAGGACTGGTCCATTACTCAGTAGGTGTTGTCTTAATTAATCCCCTCCTGGCCTCCTCCCAGGCTTTGTGACAACTGGGAATATGGAGGTGTGTGACAACTGGGAATATGGAGGTGTGTGACAACTGGGAATATGGAGGTGTGTGACAAATGGGACGTAACTAATGGGATATAACCGTACCATCAACTGGGTGTCGACAGGTGTTTTCTAAGTCTTTTCATGTTTTCAATATAGGTGCTCATGTGATTTGATGTACTTCGGGAGTTAAGATCCGTTTTATTCAATATATAGATCTTGACTATCGATCAGACTGGGCGCCCCCATATTGTTTGAAGCACATGCAAGTGATATGAGAGGTGGAATCTGATTGGTCAGTAGGAGGGATATAGAAGGACATAACTTGTAATATCCACTGGTGGTGCTACAATCGAGCCCAGAAATTCCAGCCCAGTTTGGCAAGGGTGGAAACTGGACTTTTACAGTCAGTAAATTCCCTTGCCTGAAGAAGATGATAGAATAAAAATAACCTGCAATCTGCAAACCAAGTGATACAACAACCTGGACCTCAACATAAAGATGGGGGGCACGGGTGGCCCAGTCATCTAAGGCGTCGCGATTCGCTGTGCAGAGTTGCGTCCCTTGGACACGCCAGAAACCTATGATTGTTGGTTCGAATCCCGGTTCGCCCCTGATTATGTTTCTAGGTTTGTCAGCACCATACCCGTGCTCGTTGGTTTCACCGAAGTGGTAAACGTTTGAGACCTGTATCACTTTGGGCTTTCCTCCCACATTAAGCTGACACTCCGTGATATAACTGGAATACTGTTAAAAGCGGCGTTAAACCCAA